GAGACTGGGACACGCTGAGGCCTGGCAGGACAGGGCGGAGGTTAGTTCCAGGAGGCCCAAGCCGCCAAGGAATCCCTGAGGCCTTGGACCGGGCTGCGGGGAAGTGAACAGGATGTCCTGGTGCCAGGGGCCTCCCAGCCCAGGCCTCAACCAGTCTGCCCTCACAGTCCCACCCCGTCTCCTGTCCCTTTGCCTATCTGGGAGGCCAGAGACACGGGTGTGTCTGTGAACTCCACAGACTGCAGGGGTGAGAGCTCTGAATTCTGCCACTAGTTTGGAAAGAAAACTGAGCCAAAGCTCCTATGAGAAAGAGGAGAGTGTGTGATCGGATCGAGGGTCCGAAGCAGCCTGAGCCAGGACAGGGACACCCCGGTGTCCTTGGGATGGCCTTCCTGACTCTTCTTCCAGTCTCCTGACAATTGGCGGCTTATGCTGAGTGAGGCCTGAGCCTGACAACACCGGATCAAGAGCATGACCAGGGCCACAAACAGGTGTAAGCCTGCCCACAGCTGTGAAACAAATCCATGGGGACCCCACACACTGGCTGTGGCAGGCTGTGTAACAGTGTGTGTCAGGAACCCCATGGAGGACACACAGCAGGCCCAGCCACAGCCCTCACCCGCATACAGAAAGCTCCAGCTCTGGCTACAACAGTGTCTGTACCCCTAGGCTCCTTTCCTGTCCCTCTGCCCAGTGCTAGGGACCCTCCTTTCCTTTTAGCCCATCCTGCCATTCAGAACACCCGGTCCTCACAGCAGTGAGTCTCCCATGTCCTGCTGAGCAACAAGGCTGGATGACATTGGGATCCCTTCAAATATCCATAGTCTAGGGCTCCCACACAACCAGGCTACAAGACTCTTGCTTATCAATCTGTCATTCACAGGCAGGGATTTGGTTTGGTCTGGTTTGGTCTGTTTTGGTTTGATTTGGACAGGGTCTCGCCAATGCTGGCCTCAAACTCGAAGTCCTCCTGCCTTGGTCTTCCAAGTAGCTAGACTTTCAGGGTTGCACTACCACACCCAGCTCACACAGAGATTTTGTTTTTATTCTTTTATTGGTACATTTTAGGTATACAATGCATTTACATTTATCATTGGGTGCTTGTACCTGTACGTGATGTATCTTAGTTCTTATTTTTTTCCCCATTACCTGTGCACACTTCACCCCCTCCACCCTTCCCTATTTACATAGATTTTGTTTCCATTTTTTTTTCTTTTCTCATAATTTTTCCTTTCCCTTCTTCCCTTTCCCCTCCCACCACTCCTACACCTTTGGACCTTTTCCTATTTCAAATTATGAATTATTCATTTTAATGCTTATTCACACTTTCAGTTTCTCACACTAGAGAAACTATTCAGTATATACACACGTGTGTCCTATTTATTTCACTTAAGAGTATGGCCTCAATATGCATCCATTTAGCTATAAATGTCTCTAGTTTCTCATTCTTTATGTCTGAGTAGTACTCCATTTTATTAAAAAAAAAAAAAAAACACATCTTCTTTATCCAGTTTCCAGTTGACGGGCACTTGGGCTGCTTCCAAGTTTTAGCTATTACAAATTGTGCTGCTATGAACATGGGTGCACATATATCACTGTGGTATGATTCTTTTAATTCTTTGGGGAAGATCCCCAGCAGAGGAATAGCTGAGTCAAATGGGACCTCTAGCCCTAGTTCCTTGAGGTATCTCCATACTGATTTCCACAGTGGTTTCACCAGTCTGCACTCCCACCCACAATGGAGAAGGGTTCCTTTCTCCCCACACCCCTGCCAGAATTTGTTATTTGTTGATTTCATGATAGCAGCCATTCTTTCTGGGGTGAGGTGGAATCTCAGTGTTGTTTTCATCTGCTGTCTCTCAAATGACCAGTGATGTTGAACATTTTTTCAAATATTTATTTGCTGCTTTTACTTCTTTGTCTGAGAAATATCTGTTCATTTCAGATGCCCATTTTTGAATTGGGTCTTTGAATTTGGAGGGTCTGCCTTTTTTCAGTTCTTTATATATTCTAGATAGTAGACCTTTGTCTCAGGTACAGCTGCTAAAATATTTTTCCCACATTGTAGGTTGTCTCTTAGCCCTCACACAGAGATTTTAAATACAGCACAGAGCTGGCAATTTGCAAGTGCCTTGGGTCTGTGCCTAGCTGTATCTAGACCTCTGGTGTAACAATAACCAAAGCAGCTCCCACCAGCCCAGCTCAGGGGGCCAAGTGCAGCCTGAGCAGGAGGGCAGGGGCACAGAGGGAGTGGAGTGACTCCCCAGGGCATACCTTACCCAGAAACTTCCAGACCTTTCATCTTCTGGAAGAAAGCCCTGCACAGGTTTTCTGTAGATGCCTATGAAATCCAGGTCTTCACCCAGTCCTCCATCACCAACTCTGTCGCACTGGCTACAGACTCCTGCTGATGGATTTACTGGGGTCCTGTCAGTGGGGTTCAAACATTAGCCTTCCACCCAGCCCCTGTCCTGCCCTAGGTCAGGTCCTCCTTTTTACTTCTTCCCCCAACATTCCTCAAAGTCTCCTGTTGGTAAAATTCATCTCCAAAACCCTTGCTCTGCCAGGCATGGTGGCACACTCTTATAACCCCAGCACTCAGGAGACTGAGGTAGGAGAATCACAAGTTTCAGGCAATTTAGCAAGACTCTGACTCAAAAGAAAAGGTCACAGTCTGCTCATCCCCCACCTGAAACCTTCAGTGGCTCATTACTGCCTTCCAAAAAGCCTCTATTTTTCATGTGCTGGTCAAGGTGCTACACAGTTTAGGCTGGTAATTTTCAAACACTTGTTAAGTGTACATAAATGTCTCCAAGGCAGGTGGGTCTGGTAGTCCACACCTGTAATCCCAGCACTCTGGGAGGCTGAGGCAGGAGGGTAACAAATTTGAGCCCAGGTGGGGCAATTTAGCAATTTAGTAATACTCCATTTCAAAATTTTAAAATGAGATAAAAAGACTGGAGATAAAACTCAGTCCTGTGTCATGGATTCAATCCTCAATAACAAAAAAGAAAAGAAAAAGGAAAAAGAAAGGAAAGGAAAGACCTCCAGGGAGGCGTGTCTGAAATGTAGCCTCCACGCTCACCTACAGACAAGTTGCCTGAGCAGGGCCAGGCTGGGGACCAAGCACCCAGGCTCCCAGGCAGGTGGTCCATGCACCACGGTTTACAGAGCCTGAGTCCAGGCCTCTCCCTGCTCCCAGGCCCTGGCCTGGTCTCCGTCCACACCCTGACCTCCGCACTCGCTGACTGCACCGATCCCCAGCGCTGGGGTTTCCCTCCTTCACCTGCATGTCAGGGAGGCCTCGCTGGTGGCCTTCTCGTCCCAGCATGAGGGGCCATGTGCCGCTCAGTGCCCACTCTGCCGGGAGGGCTATGTGACTGTGTGGGGTGTGGCCTGTGGCACAGGAGGGCAGGGGTGTGTTTGGGGGGTAGCAAGGGGTATGCATGCAATGCAGGTCTGGGGGTGATGAGAGGGGGAGTAATACAAGGTGTTTTATTTGGCAGGAGACTCACATGGGGGTACGGTGGGGTGTGGGGTTCATCTGTGCAGTGATATGATGTGTTTCTGTGATGGCAAGTATGTCGGGTGTGTGTGGGGTTGTGTATACAGTCAGTGTCGAGTCCTCACCCTCGCCCTGGGCCCCACAGTGCCCCCTCCCCTCCCTATATGCCCCTCAAATGGTCCCCCCAGTGCGTTGGGAAAAGAGCAACTGAATGGCTGGCCCAGGCCACAAGGCCCTGAACCCCACTAGGGACAATCTATCCTTCCTCAACAGGAGCTGCAGGGCCCTAGGATGAACTGTAAACTCTACATTCAAACATGCATTAGCCAGGTTCTGTGGTGCATGCCTTTAATCCCAGCACTCAAGGGAGGCTGAGGCAGGAGGGTTGCAAGTTCAAACCCAGCATGGTCAACTTAGCGACACAGCAAGAACTTCTCTCTAAATAAATAAATACGGTCTGGGGATGTAACTCAGCACAAATGCCCTGGGTTCAATCCCCAGTACCGCGCATCCACCAAAAACAAGATCTATTAATTCATCTGGCACCTTCTCCGTGGCAAGTTGAGAGCCCCGCGCGAATAAGGCCGGCGCTGCCTTCAGGAGCCGCGACCCCCACCCCTAATCGGGAGGATGTGCTCCAAAACCCACGTGCTAAGTATTTCCCTTGGGCGCAGCCCAACAACGCAGGGGAAAGTGAGACACGATCCATACTAAAGTAAAGGTCAAAGTCCTCGCCACAATCCTGCTGCGCAAACGTGCAACTAGGTGAATATCGGTCAGTAAACAAAACTATATTTAGATGAGCTCGGGCTGGGGTGCATTAGCAAAAGTGAAACTGCCTCGGTGCTATCCGCAGAATGCACGCCTCACTGGCATCGCCGCCCACGGCGTCCCGCGAGGTCCCCAGCCTCGCCGCCCGCAGCTAACTGTGGCCCGCAGCTTAGCCGGAGCTCGGGCGCCACCTGCCGGCCGCGCTGAACAGCGGCAGCGGGAACCCGGCGCGCCTCCAAGGCCCGACCTTTTACTGCAGCTGGCGGGGTCTCCCGGGCCGCTGCGTAAACCCGCGGGCCCTAACTGCACGGTTGGCGACCTCGGGGTACGGTTCCTGGGCTGGATTTGGCCGGTGCCCTAAGAGCATGAAGTCCGGCCCAGTGTTGCTCAGACGGCCTGGCCGCGCCTCGGATGCAGACCCCGCGCTCCCGTGCGCCCCGGCCGGACAGAAGCTGCGGCCCGAGCCGTCGGGGCGGTAGCGGGATGAAGGGAGGAGCCAATCGGGGTCCTGCGGGTGGGTGGCGGGGAGGAAGGAGTGGGTGGAGCCTGGGCGGGGCGGCTCGCGCTCTCCGTCGCTCGCCCGCCGGCCCCGCTCACCTCTAGTCCTGAGCGATGACCTGCACGCCCGCCGCCGCTGCCGCCGGAGATGGCGAGGCCTCCCTGCACTCCCCGCCCTGCAGTCCGAGCTACGATCTCACGGGCAAGGTGGGTGGGCGCTGCGCCCAGCGCTGGGGTCTCCTTGCCGGTTCTGACGGGCACCCCTCCCTGCACCCTCTCCGGCCCACGCCCCTCTCTGGCTGCATCCAGATGGGACTCAGCCGATCCCCAGGCAGCCTGGTCCCCCAGAGGAGGGAGGAAGGATCAAGATAGAGCCCGGGCCCCAGCTCAGCCTCCAGGGATATGGGCTGGCTGGGCGGCCACAGGGAAAGGACGATCGACTAACTTCCCCCCCGCAGACCCCAGCCCATTTTCTTCTGCCACGCTTTGGCCAACAAAGGCCTCGGGAACTCCATGGCTTTTGGTAAAGGTGAAGCTCATTGCCCTCCTGGGCACAGGCTAGGAAAAGCCAGGAGATGGGGGACCCTTGGAGACCCAGAAAGGATGCCGCCTGTCTGCGGGACAGCTCCTGGTTAGCACCCTTCTTTAGCTAGGCTATCTTCTTCAGTCAAGGCCTTAAGCTTGAAGCTCTTTAGGTCCCCAGTCGGTGGCTTCCAAGTCCTACCCCCTTTCCTGCCAGGGCTCCAGGCACTGCCACCCCTCCCCCGCAGCAGTAGGACAAGCCCCTCTTTCCAGGAGGCGGTTGCTAGCTTGCAGGCCCAGGAATGTTTAGGGTTTGGGGGGGTTTTTTTTGGTACGGGGTATCAAACTCAGGACCTTGTACTTGCGAGGCAGGAGGCGGCACCACTGAGCTAAATCCCCGGCCCCCCAGGAATGTTTAGAACCTGAGGAAGATCTCAGCAGTTAGTCACCAGGTGCCCCACCTGGGAAAGCTGTAAGGCTGCTCTCTAGGGCACGTTTGCTCTGCAAGGTGCCCTGTGTGGAAGCAGGTGGGGACAGCACGGTCACTAGGTTGCCTCCCCCACGATGTGTCCTTGGAGTGAGTGAGCAAGTACAAGAATGCTGAAAGAAGCCAGGCGCAGTGGCACACACCTGTAATCCCAGCGCTCAGGAGGCTGATACAGGAGGACCGCTGGGAGTTGGAGGCAGCCTGCGCTACATAGTGCGTTCATGGCCAGCCTGAACTACATAGTGAGACCCTGTCTCAAAAGAAAAGGAATGCTGAAAGAGATGCTAAAAGCAGGCCCAGAGCTCACACTCTGCCGCTGCCAGGTGAGGGAGAAATGAGGGGGCTGGATCTTGAGTGGCCTTGAAGGACACCTGCCTCTTTCTTTCCCCTGGCTCCTCTCCCACACCAAGTCTCACTCTCACTGGGAGCACTGGGCCTCCACCCCAGAGTGCTGGGGAAGCTACTGTACCAGCCACCCGCCCAGGGCCATTGAGATAGGCATCCTGTGTGGGTTTGTGGCAGGAAATGGGCCCCTGATCTCTCAGAGGAGGGGGAGCTGCTGATGGCCAGCCCCCAGGCTGATGCGGACCTCCTGACCTCCTTGCCCTACAAGCCAGCTGAGCTGTTTGCCTAGGAGGTGTCGAGGCCGAGCAGCTGTTTGTGTTTGGTGGACAAGCCCGGCTGGGTGATTGGCTGCATCATTTGCCCGAGGCAGCTGTGATGTGTAAAGTACACGGGCAGTGACCCTGCCTCCCTCCCTCCCTGGCTCCAGAGGGCCCCATCCCCCATCCCTCCATCTGTCCCCTGGCCAGGCAGCATCTGTAAGGTGTCGTAGGCTCCCCCCACCCCCACCCACTGCCTTGCCCAGGTCTGTCCCAGGGGACAGAGTCTGGGAGGAGCCTGGCCTGGTGGGAGCTCCTTTGAGAGATGGGGCTCACAGGCCGGCGGTACCTACCCGACCACTCTTCTGAGTCCAAGGGGTCTGTGCCACATTGCCCTAGCCACTGACAGATTCTAGAATGGCCCCCAGGAAATGGTCCCTCTTCCCTTCTATCTACTGTGGAGACCATGCCGCAGAAAGGCTAGGATATCTTCCTACAGTCACACAGGCAGCCATTTATAAGCCAGGACTACAGCCTTCCACGCTTCTGCTCGGCCCCCATCTCTCCACAAAGTTAGCCAATCCCAATACACTGCACCCCGGGGCAGGGAAGCTTCTGGATCCATGGTCAGATTCAGAGCCTCAAAACTCATTCAAACCTACTCCCTGCTCGGCCCACTGAACAGTCTAACTGGGCACTGGGAACACCCAGAACTGAGTCTGGACTCCCCCCAGCCTGAGGAGTGCCTGAGTGAAGGGCGCTTCCCCCATCCCTACCTTTTCTCTGGAGAAGCAGCACCAGGCTGGCAGATGGCGAAGGGGAGGTCATTGCCCACCCCCAGACCCCTTCCCTGGAGCCGCTGCCCTCCTTACCTGCAGCAACCCAGCCATGTCAATTTGTGACATTTGTCCCATGAGTGTGTGTGGAAGGTTTCTGCCAAAAGAACTTCAGTCTCCCCATCACAGTACAAATTTCAACCTTCCCTCCTCCATGCAACCCTTCTATAAACAAAATCCCTCTTTAGATACTTCCAAGTAAATGCTGTGACTCAAAACGAAACCCAAACAACAGTAATTTTAGCATATGCCTGTGCCAGCGCCAGTGCCCTGCCCCCGTGGGGTCCTGATAGGCTCCCTTGGGTGGGCATCCTGGCCAAGGCATTGTTTCCCCTTCCCAGCCCTGTAGCCCCGCCCACACGTGTACACCTGAGTGGTAAACACACAGAAGGGAGGGAATCCCTGCAGCATGCTGTGACACATAAATGTGGCTAGTCACATGTGGCCATAGTCATTCAAATATGAGGCTCTCTGGGGCCCCTGAGGACATTTAGAGGTCTCAACTTGGGCTTCCAGGATATTGGACAGGGCCAGGAGGGTCAGGTGAGCCAGGAATCATGGAGAGACAGGGAGAGGACAGCAGCAGGCTCCCCAGAGGCAGGTGCCACAAGGTGCTGTGGGCATCCTTTGCTGTCTGGCCTCTCCTCTCCTCTGATCCTCTTTCCAGATTGTCTCTCCCTGGAATCCCAGAACCCCCTGCATCCCCCAGTCTCCATTAACTGCCTCTGCCCCATCTCCTAGGTGATGCTTCTGGGAGACTCGGGTGTCGGCAAAACCTGTTTCCTGATTCAATTCAAAGACGGGGCCTTCCTGTCCGGGACCTTCATAGCCACGGTCGGCATAGACTTCAGGGTGAGGTGGCTATAGGTTCCTCCTCCAAGCAGTGAGCTGGGCCAGCCCGTGGCAGCTCAGGCTCAGGGGAATTGTCCTCTCCTGGCTCCTGAAAACTCCTCCGTCTCACTGACTGGAGGGCACCAGGGCAGCTGCCCCTGGGGAGCATGAAGATGGCCAGGCTGGAGGAGTCTGGGCAGGGCTGGCACCTTTTCCACCTACAGGACAAGAAAAACAAGACTAGGTCTTCCTGTCCTCTGCTGCTGGGGGTGGGGGGTTGCCCCAGAGCAGAGCAGGTCTGTCCCACTGTGTGAGCTGAGTTTCTTAGCCCCAAAGGACCCTTGCTCATGGCCCTGTGAGCCATGCCCACTGGCTGGGCTTCCAAGATCAGTCAGTCTCCTGGAGTTGCCACGAACCAGGCTTCATCACTGGGCTGGCCAGGTGGGGACACAGCAGCTGGCCAAGGCCATCCCTCTGCCTTGAGGACTCCCTCTTTACCAAGTGGCCTCTGAGCTGCTAAGCACCACCCACCAGAGGGTCTGGGCTAGGGACCGTCTGACCCTGGCAGGTGGTCCACACAGAAGTTTGGAGCCTCCTCCAAGTGGGCAGATGCTGAAGCTGCACTGAGAGGTCTGTGGGTAGCTGGAGGGAAGGTGGCCATGCAGGTCTAGCCCCTAAGAGCCCTAGAATGCTGGAGGGCCGTGTGCTCTTGCTCTCTTTCTCCATGACCCCTCCCCTCCTTCCCTCCCCTCTTCCCTCAGCAGTGGGGATTGAACCAGAGCCTTTGCACTCAACTATATCCCCACCCCTTTTTTTCTTCTGAGATGAAGTCTTGCTAAATTGCCCAGGCTGGGCTCAAACTTTCAATCCTCCTGCCTCAGCCTCCCAGAGTGCTGGGATCACAGATTACATGCTGCTACCATGCCCAGTTCAGGCATTTCATCTCTAAGGGCTTGGTGACAGTCATGGAGCTGAGGTCTCGGGGAGGAAGACTGAAGTAGGGACAGGGGCACCACTCTGTGCTGCCAGGTGAGCCCTGCACAGTGCCAGACAGGTTCTCAGGCTCCCTTGCCCTACCGTGTTGTGAGAAGGGAGATGGAGCCCCCGGAAAAGAGGACTCTGCAGTGCAGGTGTCTGGGGACAGGGCTCCCACTGCCCCGATGCAGTGATCTGGCTGAAGACCACGCTGGGGCTCTCCACACCGCCTCTAGTCCTAGAAAGGGACCAGGACAGGATGTTGGCAGAGCTTCTCCTGCCCTGCCCACCCTCTGCCCTTTTCTCTTTCAGAACAAGGTGGTGACGGTGGATGGTGCAAGGGTGAAGTTACAGGTGAGCCTGGAGGCTGGGGAGGGGAAGGAGGATGCTGGAGTCTGCCTGCTCCTCACCCTGAACCAAGAACCATGGGAGGCCTGCAGTCCTGCCCTCAGCCTGGGGTCATTTCCTGTGGGGCCCACAAGAGGAAACAGCTTTTGTTTCTTTGATGTCTGCAGCAAAAGCAGTTCCCAGGCACCCTCTCTTCTATCAGAGGTAGCTCAAAATTTCTTCAGAGGAGTGTAGCCTTCCTCCCTTCATCTCTTCCCCATCTCCTGGGCATCAGTTAACGTAGGAGGCTGGTCACCCTACCCCAGGCTGGGGAAGAGGAGACACCACTGAGTGGGTTTGAGAAGCCATTAACTACTACCGTCCAGGACGTCACCAGACCTAAGATGCCCAGCAGAACCTACAGAAGGAAACAGACCCCTCCCCACACATGTCACCCCTCAGTGTGTCCCTCTTGCCAGCAGTCCCTAGGCCCTGCCTCCTTCTGACCTTTTCTCCATCCCTTCCTAGATCTGGGACACCGCAGGGCAGGAGCGCTTCCGCAGTGTCACCCACGCCTACTACCGAGATGCCCAGGGTAAGGCTCTGTGCCCTCCGGCCCCTCCTCCAGCCCCTCTGTAGCACCCATGCTGCTGCTCTGAGCCCCTCTGTGTCTCTCTCCCCCTCCAGCCTTGCTCCTGCTGTATGACATCACCAACAAATCTTCCTTCGACAACATCAGGGTAGGTCCCCCTTCCCCAGATGCCCTCCCGCCCATAAACAGCTAAGGCAGGGCCTGTGCCAGCTGGTTGCTTCCTGCCCTGGAAATGGGGCAGACCACAGTATTCTGCCACCTGCTAAGGAGCACCTAGCTGTCACCAGGCATCTGATAGTCATATGGCCATGGAATCCAAGCAGGCTATTGTGCCCCCATGCTGCCTGCATAGCTGCCACCATGATTCATGAGTGTGTTTTCATGTCAGAGAGTTCAGAGTAGCCCCAGCACTAACCTGGACAATTAACCATAGAGACCTGGGGTGGGGGGGCATCCAGGAAAGTCTACGTGTACATCCAGCCTTAGTTGCAGCTCTAGCAGACAGTGTCTGTGTCCTCACAACCAAACCATTAGAGCATAGAGACACTAATTCATTAAATATAAAGACTAAGCTGATCTTACGCCTGTAATCCCAGCTAGGCAGGCTGAGGCAGAAAGATACAAGTTCCAGCCCAGATGGGGCAACTTAGCAAGACTCTACCTCAAAATCAAATTGCAAAAAGAGCTGGGGATATAGCTCCATAGTAGAGCACTTGGCCTGGGTTCAACTCTTAGCCGTACAATACATAAAGAAATGTAAGCGCTGACTCTGTACACAACATTGTTTTAGGTTTTGGAGGCCCCTTGATGCCCAGGACAGTCATACTGCCTCCTCCAACCCCATGCTCAAGGCAGATATCACCAATCAGATTACAGTATCTTTGGTCACTGAGCCCTGTGTGGGCTTAGAACCCTCCATAGGTCACACCAGGAGGATGGCCTGGCCTCTGCCTGGCTCAGCTCCGTCTCTCCTTCAGGCCTGGCTCACCGAGATTCATGAATACGCCCAGAGGGACGTGGTGATCGTGCTGCTAGGCAACAAGGTGCGTGGCTGTGTGGCAGGGTCCGCCCCCCCTGCCCCTCCTCTCCCATTGCCTAGGCATCAGGCTCAGCCAAGAATAGTTAGACGTCCTTTCATAGAGGACCCCCTGGTCTCCACTTCGGGAGTCAGACACATGCTCTCCCAGAGCCCTCTTAAAGCTTTGGAAATAGCCCCGCCCAGAGAAACCCCAAGCTGCTGCCTGGGAGGGTTCCCCCAGTGCCGGCCCACCTTAGATCATAGGGAGTGGGGTCAGGGGCTAGTACTGTCACCACCCCCGTCCCTACAGGTAGGTCACCACACCTTGGCCAACAAGAGTTACCTACCTAAAACAGGGAGACATCCTGGCCCCTAGCCAATCACACCTGCCAGCAGTCCCTCAGGCCACCAGCAGAGGGCAGGCAGTACATGCTCCCGGGGCAAAAGACCGCCAGCTGGGGTCAAGGGTCCCCTCCCCAGAGTGACCCACATGGGCTTGACAGGCGGATGTGAGCAGCGAGAGGGTGATCCGTTCGGAGGACGGAGAGACTCTGGCCAGGGTAAGTGACTCCCAGTAGGGCGGGATAAGGGGCGGGGCAGCCAGAGGCTGGCCCTGAGGACGCTCTCTCTCGGGCAGGAATACGGCGTTCCCTTCATGGAGACCAGCGCCAAGACCGGCATGAACGTGGAGTTAGCCTTCCTGGCCATTGCCAAGTGAGCGCTGAGCAGGGAAGGGGACCGAGCAGGGCAGGGAACCCAGTGGGTCCAAGCTCCTGGTCCAGCCCCTAGGCCCACATGCATTCTGCATTCTTAGCTTCTTGTTTGTCCCCAGCCCTGGCAATGGGGGTGGGAATGCTCAGCGCAGCACACCCTACCCAGCCCTCTGCGCCTCCTCTTCTAGGGAGCTGAAACATCGGGCAGGGCGGCAGGCTAATGAGCCCAGCTTCCAGATCCGAGATTATGTGGAGTCCCAGAAGAAACGGCCCAGCTGTTGCTCCTTTGTGTGACTTCCAAGGGGCTGAGAAGCAGTCCCAGAGGCCCTCAGGACATAGCTGTCTTCCCTACACTGGTTTATTCTGGGCGGCTGAGCCAATGGGGAGAGAGTTGGGAGGTCCAGTACACAGCCCTTTCCCCCAGGCAGCTGTATTTTAGGTCCCACCCTCTTTCCTGTAGCTTCCTGTATCCTGGGGGAGGGTAAAATACTTGCACTTTATCTTAATGAAACATAATACCAAAAAGAAAAAGAAAAAGGCAACAGGATGCCCAGAAAACTGAGATAGAGACCTGGTAGTCCTTTTGCCTTCTGGAATTTAGGACTAGGACCTGAGAGGCTTGGCCTCCCTCCTAGCAACAAGGCTGGCATTGCCCCAGCTTGGTGTCAGGGGACTCTGTGGCCCCTGAGAGAGCTGCTAGTGACTCCATCGCCATCCTCCCTTCACCTGGAAAGGCTAAACAGCCCTGGCTTTCATGTCTTCCAGCTCCCCAGGGAACACTCTTCCCCAGTAAGTTGCACTGGGATCTAGACCAAAAGGGCCTGCTTCCTGGGACGGACAGCAGGGGTAGTAGAGACTAGGGTCTGTCCTCCGGCTACCTCTGGCCTTCCTGAGCCCTTCCTGGAGGTGCAACCCCTCCCCTCCAGCACACAAGCTCCCTGGGGCACCTGGAAACATTGGCTCCTAGACCTCAGATCCGAGGAACCCCTCCCTGAATCCCTGTCTTCTCTGCCTCTCTTCGCGTGTCCCTAGACACCTGAGGTCAGAGCTAGGAAAAAATTTCTCTTCCTTTCCAATACTTTGGAGGGTGAGCAACCGCACGGCTACTTCAAGGAGCAGAGGTGCTTAGCTCCCCTGTGTTAAGAGCCAGATAAAGAGAAACTCCTGGATCCTGGAGCAAGTGGGAGGCAGAACTGAGCAAACCTGCCCCCAAGTCTATCTCCCTAAACCCAAGCTCTTCCTCCAATCTGACTACCTTGCCCTTTGCTTTAACTTCTCAGACACCAGGGCCAAAACTACTTTATTTCCACTCCTGCTGAGACAGGAGTTAGGGAGTGGAGTCATCCATTTCTGGGTGAACCAATGCAAAGGATTGTAAGAACAAGTGGGCAAGCCTAGGGTGAGGAGAGGGGCCAGAAAGAGTCTGTGTAGGCCAAGGGTCACATTTTTCTCAAAGCCCTCATCTCAGTCCTTGAAAGTGAACCCAAGACGTGCAGGTCATGACCTTGAGGCACCTCCAGCCCTGCAGCCCAGGGGCTGAGAAAGGATAGGAAAGGACTCAAGGCACCTATGAGGCTACTGCATTTGCTTTAAAGGCAGGAATCTTGGTCTCTGAGCTCTCACTTGGGCAGATAAGGAAGATAACAAAACTCTCCCTAGGATCTCCCAGGTGGAGCAGGGAGAGGCCTGATCTTGCAGGTCTCCTCTGGGACCAGGGCAGGTTGCAAAAGATAGGGGCACATAGGCAGCTCTGGGCTTCTACCATTTGTGTTTTTCAAAATTAAATTGCAGTATTTTGGAAAGTACACCCTGTCCACTGTTTGTTTGAAGTGGGCATGGGAGGAGGGATCATGTTAAAGGGGTTGTTACTGCATGTTGGGGCAACTGTCCTTGACTGCCAGAACCCTTGGATCTTCATTCTTCAGTGTCTTCAAAGGGTCACCTCGCCCTTAAGTGACCGCCCCCCTCTGAGATATCTGGCAAGAGAGCTACAATGCTTATCTTACCTTCCTAGTCATTTTTCTTTCCCTGTTGAAAAAATCCAGGGCTCCTTTCCTGGGGGAGTGTACCCTGAGATTGATTACCTGACTTTCTGCTTCGCCTCACCGCACCTCCCTAACCAAACGCTGACGCCAGTGCCCTAGGTGTCCAGTCCAGCGTGGGCTTTGAGAACCCTCAGGCTCTCTACTGAGCCCACTCGCCTTCCCAGCAGGGATCAGAGCCCGCGCCCAATACTCAGGTACTGGGACAGCACAAAGTGACTCCACAAACGGAAACATTGTTATTCAAACAACTGCGTTGTGTCCAAGGAGGACCTCGGTGCAGTTCTTAAGACTGCCGGCCCTCGAGGCCCCCAGTGCGGGGGCGGTTTCCCTGGTAACAGTCGCTACAGTCAAACGGAGCTGTACACCAGGCTTTGGCTAAAGGCTTTAAGACGTGAGGGTCCTATGCCTCCTATCAACCCTGGTCACAGCTGGTAAACCGGACTGCGGTCTGTGAACCCTGCTCAATACCTGGAACTCGCTCTGGGCCCCGCCCCGCCTGGCTCAACTCCGGCACTTGGTAACAAACACTTCCACTTCCTGAGCCCTCTTTCTCGCCGCGGGACCGCGAGCCGAGCACAGGCTCCGCCCTCGAGTCTTTCCATTGGCTCTCGCTGTTCACCCGGCCCGAACGTCCCCGCCCGTGGTCTCTGATTGGTCCATGATGGTCCACACCCTCGGCGCGGTCCCGCCCCCGGGATTAGAGGCCGGAGGGCTTCTGGGCAGCTCAGTCGCCGCGCGGGGCGGGATTTAGTTCGTGTTCCTCCGTACGGCCTCCGCGGTTCGCAGTCGGCGTTCCCGGGACACCTGCGCCCTCTGCAGGCGTGGGGATTCCTGCTGCGTTCCTTCTCGCCCTCCGGTTCGTTGGGCGGGGAGAAAAGCTGGGCTGTCGCGTCCCGGACCCTCGACGGGACCTCGCTTCGCGCCTCTGAGCCGTCGCAGGGCGAGATGAGCGCGGACGCGGCGGCCGGGGCCCCTCTGCCCCGGCTCTGCTGCCTGGAGAAGGGTCCGAACGGCTACGGCTTCCACTTGCACGGGGAGAAGGGCAAGGTGGGCCAGTTCATCCGGCTGGTGGAGCCCGGCTCTCCGGCCGAGAAGGCGGGGCTGCTGGCCGGGGACCGGCTGGTGGGGGTGAACGGCGAGAACGTGGAGAAGGAGACCCACCAGCAGGTGGTGAGCCGCATCCGCGCTTCGCCCAACGCCGTGCGCCTGCTGGTGGTCGACCCCGAAACCGACGAGCAGCTGAAGAAGCTCGGCGTCCAGGTCGGGGAGGAGCTGCTGCGCGCCCAGGAAGAGCCGGGACAGGCCGAGCCGCCGGCCGCCGACGAGTCGCAGACGGACGGAAATGAAAATGAGCCGCGCGAGGCCGAGAAGAGCCACTCGGAGCGGGTAAGTGTGGGCCGGGGCCCGGGCTGGGGGATCGCAGAGAGACCCCGGCGCCCTGCACGTCCAGCCCCTTCTGAAACTCGAGCCCCGCGGGAGAGGGAGTCTGCTTTCGCCTGCCGACCCAGCGCCCCGGCGGTTCCTGGACAGGCTTGGGGCTGCGTCCCGGGACCCCATCCCCCTGCCCGGCCTGGCCCGGGAGCCTGAGCAACTTTGCAGCGAGCGGGTCCCGACACGAGAAAGCTGGAAGAATAACGACCCATTTTCTGTGCCGACCTCCCCCCCCCCCGCGCGCCCCCGGTGGGGATGGGTCCCTGGGAGGCTGGCCCGCATCTCCCTCAGCCTCTTGGTGTGTGTATCATTAACTTCACCGGGGCTGGACTTTAGCCTCGTGAGATCCAGTGTGACTTCTAAAAAGAGAGGAAGCCCCAGCGTCTCTGAGCGAGGTGTGGGGGTGGGGTGCTGGGAGGAGAGGCAGAGGCGTCTTGGGGGTGGTGGCCCTGCCACCCAGGAGGATTTATGATTCTCAGGAATGTGAGGAGTAAGCACTCGCTTGTATCAGGGAGGAGGAGGAACGCTGGGGAGGGAGTGGGCACATGGCCAGGCAGCGGCCAGCAGAGCCCACCAAGGGCAGGTGGCCTTGCCCTGGTGTTGTCATTGCGTACTCCAGTGCCTGGACACCCAGCAGGCTGGGTGCTTTTGCCCGTGTTTGGAACGGCTGCAGGAGGGGCAGCTGGCAAAACAGGAGCTGTTGTGCTGAGCCTCCTGTCCCCAGAGAGCAAGGCGGGGAGGGTTGGGATGCAGGCTGTGGGACCGAGGCCTCTTAATGGTGCACCATTTCTCTACCTGATGGCAGCTTGTGGCAGGCTGTCTGGGGCCAGGAGGATCGTCCCTGGATAGAGAAAGGGCAGGGTGGAGCATGAAGGTAGAAAGAAGGTGGATACTGAGAGGACCAACTGGTTTGGCGGACGTGAGGTCACCAGGAGCCTTGTCCAGCCAGAACCAGGTGCTGGGAATGCCACAGTCACTCTGCTCCCACTTCCACTGCCAACTTGGCATTGGCAAGGGGTAGGAGAGAAGTTCCAGGACCCCTGGCAGGGAGTTGACACTGCGGGGTTGCAACCTACGACCTCTGTTCCCAGGCATTAACCCAGTTTGAACTTTGAGCTGAGTCCATCGATTTGTCATTCTCTTTTTTCCTCTGTTGGACCTTGGCACCCACACAATATCCCCATCATCACCACCAAGTTACAGTCGTGTTCAGCTCCTCCCTTTGCCCTTTTGGTTCAGCTGCTGGGCGCCAGAGGGCCCTGGGGAGGTGAATGTAGAGCACACACGCTTCACCATGCCATCCAAAAAGGCAGTGGGCTTTGGTCTTCTGCTCTAGGTGACCCCAGAGTCAGGCTCCCCCAGATGGTGGGGTGACACCTGCATTTCTGTGTGTTCATTAGGCCAGGACACAGGAACACCATCACCGTGCAAGTCAGACATTCTCTGAGATTTGATCCTCCCATCCACCCATTGGGAGCATTGGACAATGAGATGCTTGGCTTCTCGAGAATTTTAGAAGTATTGGAAGTACTGGTGCCCCTACTCAATGCTAAATTGGGCACATTTATGCTAGGCATTTGGATCCCAGCTCTGTGCAACCAACTCCTTCAGCTTTATTCATAGCCAGCCAGCAATGCTAAGCCCCTCTGGTAGAAAACTGCCATATTCTCATAGCGTGAGCTTGCAGGTGACCCGCCCCGATCTGCAAAAAATGTCCGTAAACATGACGTTGGGTTTTTTTTTTTCTCTTTCTAAAATGCA